GGGGAGGGGAGAGGATGTGGGCGCGCGGAGGGGAAATTGCAGCAGAAAACGAGCCGGAAGAGCGGTTCCCAAAGTGTATTTTGCGAACTAGCAGCTGCTGCGCTCTCAGCCCCGTGCGGCCGCTCGAAGGTGATGCCGGGAAGGCCAACAGCAGTCATGTGAAAGTCTTTGTACCGAAAAAGCCGCCTGCATGCTGCGGAGATGCGGAGTTCACCCAGAGAGAGGCGCGGGACTCCAGCGAGAGGCCACGGCGCGGCCGTCCCCTGGGGTCCCTCTTTCCTACTGCGTGACCCTTCCGCTCTGCCCCCGGCCCGGTCCCCTGGGCTCGCACCGCGCCCTGCGCGGGGGCGCAGCGGGACGAGGGTCCCCGGCGCGGGAGCCGCAGGGCTCACACCCTGCAGGGACAGCTGGCGCAATCCGTAGGGGCAGCTTTGCCATCCTGCCAGCTCCGGGTCTGGCTTCAAGACCATTCTATTAGTGAGTTAATTGTACTCAAAACCCGAAATGAATTGAACCGAACGTTACTAAAAATGAATAGATTGAAGTGGCCCACTCTTGCTTCATCCAGAGCTGTTATGAAGGAGATCCCGGGGCCTGATCTGGCTCTGGGAGAGCAGGTCTCTGTCCTCATGCCATCTGGTCACCAGGCCTCCATGACCACCTCACACCCAGATGCCACTCTCAGCCCCCTCAGCAAGCTTCTCCTCTCATAACAGCACTCACTGCCCAAGCGATGGCATGGTTACATGCTGGTTAGGTCTGTCACCTAAGAGAACAGAAGCTCCGTGGAGGCAGGGCCTCTGTTTCCTCACCCTTGTGTCTCCAGCATGTAGGCAGTGCCCGGCACAGTGTAGAGTCTAAGTAAATGCTGCGGAGTGAATGAATGGAGGGGTCAGCTAGCGATGCGTCCTTTCTGAATGTTTCTCTTCTCATTTGCCTTTTATACATGACTTTTTAAAATGATAAGGCTGTGAGATTTGGGGGTAAATATAAAAACTTTGTTGTGATTGAAATGACCGGCAGCCTTGTACAGGGTGCCCGTGAGCTGCTGCAGCAGAGCAGGACCCTGGAGCTGTGACTTGCAGGTGCGCTCTGTGACAGCTCTGTTCCCGCAGCCCTGCCTCCTCATGAGGAAGAGAGAGAAGAACGTGAGTCTTGTCCCTGGACTACCTTCATATCCAGTCATCGAGTGGGAGTCTGCACAGGAACATCGAGAAATAAAAGGGAGGCAGGAAATAGGCAGACGTTTAAAATATTCCTTAATATTTGATCATTTAAAATAATAAATTTTGGCATCAATTAAAAGGATAACCCCACATATTTCCTAGATTAAATGGGCATTCACAAAGGTATAGATTGGAGGTAATTATGTAGATAATATTGACTTGCGTACTTTTGTTCCAGATTTCATGATGTCATAGTTACTGAATCTTTAGTCTTTGGGTTGAGATAGGCCAGATACCAACATTGTTCTTGAAAACCTTTGAAGAGGGCTTTTTTTAAATACAAAGAGCAAAAACAAAACCAAAGAGTCAGTATCCTGTGATGTATGCTGTTACCTTGAGGTGAGTTTATTTGTGGTATGAACTTGTGACAAACGTTGCAAGGTATGGCATATATTATTTGTCAGATTTTGTTCATTTCAGTTCATTTTGTTCATTTAAACTTTGGTTATTTATTGCACACTGAAGGAATCAACTAAAACCAGAAAAAACAAAGGTCCAATTGCTCTTGAATTTTATTTCACATAGAGAAGAAATGTTTCTGATCAACATTTCTGATGTTCTCAGTAATATATTTCAGTTTCTTGTAAATAAACTGTGAAAAAGCAAAGACCAGATTTTTATGCACCACAAAGCAAAACAAAAGCAAAAAATCTTTCAGGGCAAAAAATCTTTCAGTGCATTTTTCATTAAACTTATTGCTGAACTGTTTTCATCATGTGCTCTTATCCAGCCATGAAAGTAGCAGAAGTGTGAATTCTGGGGTGAAGAAATAATTGCTGAAGGTGGTTAATGAGGCAGAACTCACAAATCTGCATTTACAGTTTTGTGGACAAATAAATCATCAGTGGAGAATACAACTGTAAAGAAAAATTTTGATTGCATTCCAGAAATGCAAGGTTGAACTTTTTACCAAAATAGCATTTTACAGCCTCACAGAGGCATGTTGTGAGTATTAAATGTGATGTGCTCAGAATAGCAACCCAGGGCATCGTGAACTGTAGTAAATGTTCGCCATTTATTCTTACAAGGATTGTAGTATGAAAGATTAAATCATGTCTTAATCATGCATAATAAACTGTACTGTAATTTAAAAAAAGAAATCAACAGTAATTCCAGGGGCCACTTTAGAATTTGAAAATAACCCAACACTCACCACTTAGAAAGCGTAATGTTTTTTAATACCACCTATTTATGACAACAAAAATGATAAGTGTGCTCCCCAAGGCATCTGGAAAACCTGAATGAAGCACCGGGTTGTGTCCTGAAGGACATAATGGGAGTTGTTCCTGGATGAGCAGACTTTGCCTAATTACTCCCCCCACCCCCTCTGGTGCAATGCAGTTCCAGTGAGTCCCCGTGAAGAGTCCTTTAGGAATGCAGTAAATTGAGGAGAACTAGCTTCTCCATTTATTAAAAAATGTATTTAAATTAAAAGCAAATGTAAAGACAAAATTATAACAACAAATAGTTGAACAGAGCAGAGTTAAAGGTACAGGCCTCAAAATGCGTGACAAGTATCTGATGAAGGTGACATTTCAATTAAATGGATAGCTTATTCCATAGATGGTGTTATGATTGACTATACAGCCAGGAAACAATGAATGTCTGATCCGTGCCTCATTATCTGCATCAAGACAAACTCCAAAGTGTTCGCAGGTTTAAATATATCAAACACAAAAAAATCACAGGGGTATATGTTCATAATCTTAGACTTGGATTGGCTTTTGAAAACCTGGGAAAACCAAACTCCAAGGATATATTTGATTTCCTAGAAATGTGAAAGTTTGAGTCAGTCAGCACTATGAACAAAGTCAAAAGACAACAGAGCTCCTGAAGAACAGAGACTGAGTCCCGGGTCTCATCCTGCCCTCACCAGCCGCCAGCCCTGGCACAGGCTGCCCAGAGGCACGCACAGCTAGCTGCAGCAGGGGGCAGGGGCTCAGGGCTGCCACGGAAACCTGCATAGCCACAGCCCACAGCCTTCGTCAGATTCCTCGTTTATTTTTAATTTGTGGAGGGACAGATCTGCTTCTGGCATCTCTCTCTCTCTCTCTCTCTCTCTCTCCCCTCCCCCCCCCATGAAGCAAGGAGGCCTGGGAAGGCCTAGAGAAAAGCCTTGGAGAGAGTTTTATGGAGCCTCCGGCACCCAGGTATTGGCCCTTTTCTAGCCTACTTTTGTAAAAACCTGAGATAAATTGTTCCAGCCTCCCAACCAGAACCCTTAAAATTAGCACCAGTGGTCAGCTTCTCTCCCCTTCTGTACCCCATGTATTCAATTCATGGCTCCTAGCACATCTTTCCTAAAATGCCCTTTGGGTTTAACCTGCCTGCTCAAATTTCTCTGCCTACAGAGCGTGTTACGTTATTTCACTTGGACATTAT